CAGGCAGCAATGAGAGACACAGAGGGAAAGAGGATCAAATGTCATCCATTTTCCACTGCCGTAGATTGGTGTCATTTTCCTTTACTGTTCTTTTCTTCCATGCAAAATTGCTGCTGCTAACCCTCCGTAAAATTACCTCTCATAAGGATTAGTTTGCCTTGGAAACAATTATTTTAAATGCTGTAAGGAATTGTTCTCCCGGTGACATTTTTATAGCTCAAATTTGACTAAGTAGCGTTGAGGTGGTTTTCATTAACCGCTCCTAGTGTACACACAAATTGTGCTCTGGGTGTAAAACAGCTGTTTTACAACCATGAGAACGAGCCGGTGAGAGAGGAGGCATGCTTTTACATGACTTTCACGTTTGGGCCCCCATTAGACTGAGTTCTGCTACTGTTTCTGCCTCATTAAGATCAAATTATCTTTAATTAGCTGCTCAGATGTTTGATCATACTGTTTTTTAAACACAGCTTGTGGAAAAAAACGTGAGGTCCCACCCGGACACACACGCACACGCACGCAAAGGCTGCTCAACATTGTTGATGATGCAATATGTTAATATTTAACCTTGCTGTGTGAACATAATGGGAAGGTCGCGCTCCCGCTCGGTGAAACTGATATTGAAGGATGTGTCCCAAAAAGGACCCTCTTCCCTATGTAGTGCACTAATTTTGACCACTGTCCTGGTCGCTGGTCAAAAGTATTGCACTACATGGGGAATAGGGTGCCATTTGGGACACAGCCTAAAGGATGGTTGAAATGTGCAACAACACTAATAACACTCTTTAATTACCTCTACAGGACACCCATCTTGTCTGAAGTTCTCCCCAGAGCTGACCACAAATGTGAAGAGATTGCGATGGCAATGTATAGAATGCAAAACCTGTAGCTCCTGTCGAATACAGGGTAAAAACGCTGTAAGTATTTTAATACCTTAGATTTTGTTCTAAATACGGAACCATACCATTTCATCTGTGTGAGATAGAGATTGATATTGCTTTCATCAAATCAAATTATATTTGTCACATGCGCCGAATACAACAGGTGTAGACCTTACAGTGAAATGCTTACTTACTAGCCCTTAACCAACAATGCAGTTTTAAGAAAAATAAGTGTTAAGTAAAAAATAAATGAGTAAAAAAATAAAGGCTATATACATTTTTACATTTTGCCTGGTATAGAGGTCCTGGATGGCAGGAAGCTTGGCCCCAGTGATGTACTGGGCCGTACGCACTACCCTCTGTAGTGCCTTGCGGTCGGAGGCCGAGCAGTTGCCATACCAGGCAGTGATGCAACCAGTCAGGATGCTCTCAATGGTGCAGCTGTATAACTTTTTGAGGATCTGAGGACCCATGCCAAATCTTTTCAGTCTCCTGAGGGGAATAGGCTTTGTCGTGCCCTCTTCACGACTGTCTTGGTGTGTTTGGACCATGATAGTTTGTTGGTGATGTGGTCACCAAGGAACTTGAAGCTCTCAACCTACTCCACTACAGCCCTGTCGATGAGAATGGGGGCGTGCTCGGTCCTCCTTTTCCTGTCGTCCACAATCATCTCCTTTGTCTTGATCACGTTAAGGGAGAGGTTGTTATCCTGCCACCACACGGCCAGGTCTCTGACCTCCTCCCTATAGGCTGTCTCATAGTTGTCGGTGATCAGGCCTACCACTGTTGTGTCGTCGGCAAACTTAATGATGGTGTTGGAGTCGTTCCTGGCCATGCAGTCATGTGTGAACAGGGAGTACAGGAGGGGGACTGAGTACGCACCCCTGAAGGGCCCCCGTGTTGAGGATCAGCGTGGCAGATTACCTAACCTTCCCACCTGGGGGCGGCCTGTCAGGAAGTCCAGGATCCAGTTGCAGAGGGAGGTGTTTAGTTCCAGGGTCCTTAGCTTAGTGATGAGCTTTGAGGGCACTATAGTGTTGAACACTGAGCTGTAGTCCATGAATAAAATTCTTTATTTTCCTTTTGTCCAGGTGGGAAAGGGCAATGTGGAGTGCAATCGAGATTGCATAATCTGTGGATCTGTTGGGGCGGTATGCAAATTGGAGTGGGTCTAGGGTTTCTGGGATAATGGTGTTGATGTGAGCCATGACCAGCCTTTCAAAGCACTTCATGGCTACAGACGTGAGTGCTACGGGTCTGTAGTCATTTAGCCAGGTTACCTTAGTGCTCTTGGGCACAGGGACTATGGTGGTCTGCTTGAGACATGTTGGTATTACAGACTCAGTCAGGGACAGGTTGAAAATGTCAGTGAAGACATTTGCCAGTTGGTCAGCGCATGCTCGGAGTACACGTCCTGGTAATCCGTCTGGCCCTGCGGCCTTGTGAATGTTGACCTGTTTAAAGGTCTTACTCACATCGGCTACTGAGAGCGTGATCACACAGTCGTCCGGAACAGCTGATGCTCTCATGCATGCTTCAGTGTTGCTTGCCTCGAAGCGAGCATAGAAGTAATTTAGCTCGTCTGGTAGGCTTGTGACACTGGGCAGCTCGTGGCTGTGCTTCCCTTTTATAGTCTGTAATAGTTTGCAAGTCCTGCCACATCCGACAAGCGTCGGAGCCAGTGTAGTACGATTCAATCTTAGTCCTGTGTTGATGCTTTGCCTGTTTGATGGTTTGTCGGCGGGCATAGCGAGATTTCTTATAAGCATCCGGGTTAGAGTCCCGTTCCTTTAAAGCGGCAGCTCTACCCTTTAGCTCAGTGCGGATGTTGCCTGTAATCCATGGCTTCTGGTTGGGGTATGTACGTACAGTCACTGTGGGGACGACGTCATCGATGCACTTATTGATGAAGCCAGGGACTGATGTGGTGTACTCCTCAATGTCATTGGAAGAATCCCGGAACATATTCCAGTCTGTGCTAGCAAAACAGTCCTGCAGCTTAGCATCTGCGTCATCTGACCACTTTTTTATTGACCGAGTTACTGGTGCTTCCTGCTTTAGTTTTTGCTTCTAAGCAGGAATCAGGAGGATAGAATTATGGTCAGATTTTCCAAATGGAGGGCGAGGGAGAGCTTTGTATGCGTCTCTGTGTGTGGGGTAAAGGTGGTCTAGAGTTTTTTTCCTTCTGGTTGCACATTTAACATTCTGGTAGAAATGAGGTAAAAACGGATTTGTTTCCCTGCATTAAAGTCCCCGGCCACTAGGAGCACCGCCTCTGGATGAGCGTTTTTCTGTTTGCTTATGGCCTTATACAGCTCATTGAGTGCGGTCTTAGTGCCAGCATCAGTTTGTGGTGGTAAATAGACAGATACGAAAAATATAGATAAACTCTCTAGGTAAATAGTGTGGTCTACAGCTTATCATGAGATACTCTACCTCAGGTGAGCAAAACCTTGAGACTTCATTAATATTAGATTTCGTGCACCAGCTGTTGTTTACAAATATTCACAGACCATCACCCCTTGTCTTACCGGAGGCAGCTGTTTTATCTTGCCGATGCAGCGTAAACCCGCCAGCTGTATGTTATCCATGTCGCCGTTCAGCCACGACTCGCTGAAACATAAAATATTACAGTTTTTAATGTCCCGTTGGTAGGATATTCGTCATCGTAGCTCGTCTATTTTGTTATCCAATGATTGTACGTTGGCTAGTAGGACTGATGGTAGAGGCAGATTACCCACTCGCCGTCGGATCCTTACAGGGCACCTCGACCTACGTCCCCGATATCTCCGTCTCATTCTCTTGCGAATGACAGGGATTTGGGCCTTGTTGTGTCCCAAATGGGGCCCTATATATAATGTACTACTTTTGATCAGGGCTCTGGTCAAAAGTAGTGCACTATATAGGGAATATTGTGCCGTTTGGGACACAGATGTATCATGAAAGATTTTAGATCTGCCATTTCCGGGCAACATGTTGTGAAGACTCCTTTTTCTCCCTCCACCCTTCAACATAATTCACCTCCACATCCATCATCCATATTAAACTAAACGGACATGTCCCTCTTTAGAGTGAAATGACAGAAGGTGTAACATTTATGCAACAACAGGGAAGCCACCACACAGCCCCACACATGCCTCCTGTCTCCTTGCAGGACGAGATGCTGTTCTGTGACTCTTGTGATCGTGGGTTTCACATGGAGTGCTGCAACCCACCACTCTCAACGATGCCAAAAGGTAAAGGCGTTTATACACTGTATGTTCTCTCTCTGTCTCTCTCTGTCTCTCTCTCTCTCGCTGTCTCTCTCTCGCTCTCTCTCTCTCTCTCTCTCTCTCTCTCTCTCTCTCTCTCTCTCTCTCTCTCTCTCTCTCTCTCTGTATCTCGCTCTCTCTCTCTCTCTCTCTCTCTCTCTCTCTCTCTCTCTCTCTCTCTCTCTATCTCTCTCTCTCTCTGTATCTCTCTCTCTCTCTCTCTCTCTGTCTCTCTCTGTCTCTCTGTCTCTCTCTCTCTCTCTGTCTCTCTCTGTCTCTCTCTGTCTCTCTCTCGCTGACTGTCTCTCTCTCTGTCTATCTTTCTGTGTGTGTGTGTTCTTCATAGGGGGCCTTTAGGGCTGTCAATCATCATAGTGAAGCAGAGATGGCTTGTTAGGAGCTTTGCATGAATATCAAATTATTCCCCAGTCCCAGGGGAGATTTGCTATATGTAGATTACTGTACATGGCCTACAGCTATGCTTGTAATGATTGAACAACTACTGTAGTGTAAGACCTTTGACAGCAGGACTAATATTCACACAAGTCGCATTGCTTTGCTCAAAATGAGCTGACATGGGCTGTCTCCCAAATGGTACCCTCTTCCCTACATGGGCCCTGGTCAAAAGTAGTGCACTGTATAGTGTTCCATTTGGGAAACAGACTAGAAGTCTATTTCAGTGGACCCTGATGTTTTTTTCGTATGGATTTCTCTGCTTTGTGCTGAGTAATTGATTGTTGTTCGTTGTAAGGAGTGAGTGGGAGTGTTTCTCCATTTTAAAGGGAAATGTTTCAAATGAATGTGTGGTGTCAGTTGATAAAGCCACCTAATCGATGCTCTCCTCTCTCTGTCTGGGGTCTCTCTAGGTATCTGGGTCTGCCAGGTCTGCAGGCCCAATGAAAATGGAAAGAAACTGCTGCATAAGAAAGCCGATCAGATCAAACGTCGATATGCAAAGCCAATGGGGAGGCCCAGAAATAAGCTCAAACAAAGAATGTAAGTTTATCACCATGATCTGTAAATATTGTCTTTACTTTAGTGTACCAATAAATGGTTGCCTCAAGGAAATCCACCAGCTTTTTATCGCAATATTGTTGTTGTTGAGTTGTTATGACTATGTTATTTTCATAAACTTCAGCTTTGTTTAGCTTTTGATTCATACCATAGTTTGTGTCCTTGCCTAACCTCTATGCTGTTTTCTTTTGTAGGTCTGTAAGCGGTGGTGACGGCTCCATGCTAGCCCGGGGAGGAAGGGGGTCACCTGGTAGGGGTCAAAAGCTTACCGTCTGTTCCACACCTTCATCTGGTCATGCAGCATCTGTGAAGGACGCCACAGACAGATTGGCTGTTGCTACATCAGACCCCTGTTGGGCCGGTGACGCTGTCACCTTCACCACCCAATTCACCACCTCCTCCTCCACCCCTTCCACCACCCCCCCCCTCACGCCCACCTCGTCCTCCTCCACCCCAGCAGCTACACTCACTGTTAACAAGAAAACCAAAGGGCTTATCGATGGGCTTTCCAAATTCTTTACCCCCTCGCCTGTCGGCCGCAGGTCGTCGCGAGCCAGCGAAATCTTAGACCCCTCTGCCCTGAAAGGGTCACAGTCTTGTTGTCCTGCTAGGAAAAAGCCGGGCCCTCCGCCGAAACTATGGAAACTCAGTCCGTCTCAGTCAGTTGTTGGCTTGGCTGCAAAGTCCGATACAACTCCAAGTCAAAAGCTAACCACCACCACCCTATCTCCCTGTACACTCCCTCTCCCACCCACGTCGCTTGGACATAGCCCCACCACCTCCCAGGTCTCCTCCAGCTCCACCTCCGCTAACTCCCCCCAGAGTTCTTCCAGCCAGTCTAGCGTCCCCTCCATCACTAGTCTCTCTAATCACAACCAACTTAAGGGACTCTTTGATGGACTCTCCCATATCTATGCCACTCAGGGACAATCTCGGAAAAAGGGACTGCCTTGCTACGCACCACCAAGGCGCAGACACCGTAAGCAGGACTTAGGGTCCTGTGCCACCGCGTCCAAAACGTGTCCTCTCATTCCCCATCCTTCCCAACAGCGCCTCGGAAAGAAAGAGATGACAAAGAATAGGTTGTTGTTGTTGTCTTCCCACTCCTCCTCCCATCTCGGGCCGGGCCGGCCCAGGGGGCGCCCCTTTAAGGTGGTCAGTCACTTCAGACGTAATCCCTTTTTTAAAAAGCACAGGACGCTAGGCAGGCTAAGATGTAGAGTTACCCCTCAGAAGGGACCCCAGGAAACACCAGGAAAGGGAGACATGACAGACGAAGGAAGAATTAAGGCAGAGCACGACCATGGTAAGCAAAGGCGTGAACGCTCCGACCGAAACTACCAGAGTCTACCTTCGCTAGTTGAAATCTTTTTTTAACCCAAGGCTTGTCACAAATTGCCTGGCTATTTTAATTTTTTACCATACTACTGTATGAGTGAACAAGTGCATTTTGGCTTTGCCTCGCTTTAATTCAATAACATTTTAACAGTTTCTACTACTAATCTTTTACACCACCTACTTTTAATTAATTCATTTCCGTTTTTTTCAACCCGTTTAATTTCGTTATTGCGTTTTGACTTTGGCTGCGTAATGAATCTAGCTATGCAGCTTCAGTTCCATCTCTCTGCCGTCGGCTTCTTTGTCATAGTAGTGCATGTCCCAAACACTAACCCCTCCTTCATACTGCTCTCTCCTTGCCCTGTCCTTGACCCTCTGCATTAGTGCACTGGCTTCTCCCATTGTGATTGTCGCCTAGTAGTGACTGTACTGTTCTGTAGTTGGATTATTAAGACTCACTCTTCTGCCTCCCATTCCACCCACCATCACCACTACCACCAGTGGCACTGTCACCATTCAACCCTAACCTCCCACAGTCGTTAGACTGACACACATACACCTGCCATTTATGACTCGCATTTGACATGGTGATTACATCTATCGATCTACACCCTCCCCCATCTGATTTGGTATCATAGGGCCCGTTTCCCGGACACAGATTTATCCTAGTCCTGGACTAAGAAGCATGTTCAATTGAGATTCTCCATTGAGCATGCTTCTTAGTCCAGGACTGGGCTTAATCTGTGTCTGGGAAACCGGCCCTAAAGGGCTAAGATGTTTTTAAAGGATATGGATTTGATTTGAAGGGGTTGTAAATAATACAGTGAATAGAAGCAAAAGTGTTTAAAGTGGAAAGCCAAAACGTCCATCTACACATTTAAAACGTATACTCAAGTCTCAAACAAATATTTGTAATTTGTTTTTTAATGTATCATTTCCACTTTTGTTAGTGTATAATACATCATTTCAAGTGTTTCATGTATGCTAAAGCTGCTTGCTTATCTTTTCAACATCATTGCTGTTATATGGTAGTCTCCACACTGCTGCTGTCACTGCATTGGCTTGTTAATTCATGGGAAACTGTCTGGGCCTGTGTCCCAAATGGCACCCTAGTATTCCCTGCATAGTGCATTACTTTTTGACCAGAGACACATGGGCCGGGGTCCAAAGTAGTGCACTATATAGGGAATAGAGTGCCTTTTGGGATGCAGACTTGGTGGGATGATTAAGCACATGAAAGTGGTTACGTTAGTAGAGTGATTTAGTTTCACGTCATTACATTCAGGATTTTCATTCACAGGTGCAGAGATGATACATTCATTACACAACTCCACAGAGACATAACCTCGCAGAGGCTGTGTAACAAAACATACATTAAAAGCACATTAAAACCAAATGCATTTACTATACTGAATGTTCACGGGCTACAGAACACTGCTCCCTGTCTACTGTATAAAGCAGTGATGATAATCCACCATGTTTGATGGTACACCTCTGATGTGAATGTTTGGTTACTGTGACTGTAACAGCCTGTTTGGTGACTGTGACTGTAACAGCCTGTTTGGTGACTGTAACAGCCTGTTTGGTGACTGTGACTGTAACAGCCTGTTTGGTGACTGTGACTGTAACAGCCTGTTTGGTGACTGTGACTGTAACAGCCTGTTTGATGACTGTGACTGTAAAAGCCTGTTTGGTGACTGTGACTGTAACAGCCTGTTTGGTGACTGTGACTGTAACAGGCTGCTTGGTGACTGTAACAGGCTGTAATGTTTTGTTGCTGTAACAGGCTGTGAAGGTGAACTGAGGGTGAAGCAGGAACCTGGCTTCGTAGCGGTCTCCAGGGAACACGTCACAGAGGAAGACGTGGATATATTCACAAAGGTCCAAGAGCTCTCGTCGCAGGTGAGTGAACTGTCCAAAAGAACCTTTCTCAATCACACTTCTCACACCTATCACCTAATCAATGTAAGTTATATGTAGCATTTATAGATTAACATTACAACCCCAAAATCTACGTTTGTCAGATGTTTTCAGACTTGAAAATAAGTTTTAATGTCACAAAGGGAAGGGTCCACATCCCAAGTTTCTGTTTGAAGATGCTGCCTATGTCAGACTGAGATCTTTGATATTGTTTGAATGAATGCTTGTGGTACGACGTTGAGACATTTTTATTTTGTATTGTCGTGTTTAGAGAAATGGAACCATGACCATCACTGACTCTGGACGATACCCGGCCGTCATTGAGTTTGGAAAGTATGAAATCCAAACCTGGCACTCTTCGCCTTACCCACCTGAATACTCAAGGTACAGTTTATTATTTCTTAAACTCAGGTCGGACAAATGGCGATCAATGCTAGGCTTTTTTATTTTATAAGAAAATAAATACTTTATTAATCCCTGAGGGGAAATCGGTGTGTCAACTGATTAGTTGAAATCCAAATTATAGGCTAACTTTTGTCTCTGTTGTTGGCAGATTGCAAAAGCTTTACCTGTGTGAGTTCTGTCTGAAGTACATGAGAAGCAAGAACATCCTCCAGCGACACGCCAAGAAGTGTGGCTGGTTTCACCCTCCAGCCAATGAGATTTACAGGAAGGACGACCTTTCAGTGTTCGAGGTCAGAGGTCACTCTTCAAAGTTGTAAAGCAATGGGTGCATCCCAAATGGCACCCTATTCCCTATATAAAAATACCGCAAAGATTTTTTCAGGACCCAAATGGCACCCTATTCTCCTTTTTTACCAGGGCCCAATGGCGCCCTATTCCCTTTATAGTGCACTGCCCTATGGGCCCTGGTCAAAATAAGTGCACTTTAAAGGGTGCTGTTGGGACTATGATCATATGCTGGTGTATGAAATGTGACTGAATGGTTTTGCAGGAGAGGTGGAAAGAATCAACTGTTTGTTTCAATTTGAACATTGTTCTCATGCTGGTTTTGTTCCGTGTTTAGGTGGATGGAAATGTCAGCAAGCTCTTCTGCCAAAACCTCTGCTTGTTAGCCAAGCTGTTCCTGGATCACAAGACCCTATATTACGACGTGGAGCCTTTCCTCTTTTACATACTAACAAAGAACGACGAGAAAGGCTGTCACCTTGTGGGTTATTTCTCCAAGGTGAGGATATTCAATAGAATGAAAAATATGTTTGCTTAATGCAGTGACAGTGTCTTTACTATATTAGTCCTCTTAAAAGCTAAATGTATTCTCAAGGGTTTGTGTGTGTGTGTGTGTGTGTGTGTGTGTGTGTGTGTGTGTGTGTGTGTGCGCCTGAGTGTGCGTGCACAAGTGTGTGTGTGTGTTTGCTTTAGACAAGGACAGTGGCAGGTGCAATAAATTGCCAGCTTCAGTGCAGCTCTGACATACTTGATCTGTTTCCCCTTCCCTCAGGAAAAGCTTTGCCAGCAGAAATACAATGTCTCCTGTATAATGATCATGCCTCAGTACCAAAGGCAAGGCTTTGGAAGGTTCCTCATTGATTTCAGTAAGTCCCTTAAAGCATTCTAAGAACATAAAACTCAATTCCTGCTTGATTCTAGAATCCTTGCCTGATTCTTTACAATTTAAAATAATCTGTTTCCCAGCCATACATTTGTGCCACTAGCTAGGTTTCCATCCAATTGGTGACAGATTTTCATGTGAATATTCTAATATCCGCATAAAAAACAATCTGCACATTTTCCCACCAGAGATGTTTCCATCAAATTCACTTGTGGATAAAAGTATATGCGTGATGACGTAGTGCACATAAAAATCACTTTTGCTGTTAAATTCCCATTTACTGAAAAAAACATACAAGTTAAATGGGTTTCCATCACATTTTCAACTCTACTGATGGTTTTGTCACAAAAAAAAGAGTATTATATAGGGAACGTGCCCACTCTGGTCTTGGCACGTGCTCTCTAGCCAACAGCTAGCAGATAGTGTGGGTAGGCTACCTACATGAGATTATTATGGACAAAAGAGCAAGATTATTTTTATTTATCAAACGGCAACCAAGCATCGATCATCATGTCACCAGAATAAGACCCTCGATATTTATTGAAAAGGAGCATCAAGCTCATCACCTTGCACATTCATCACCCTGTGAAGTTCATCATCATTTTATTTAATCTGTAGCCTAATAAACTGCATGCTTTCCCCAGTCGTAGTGGGAGGACCCCACACCATATCATCGCATGACTCCAAGTTTACTTCGATTTGATAGTTATTATATGGCCATTTCTCGCATAATTTATTTTACTGACACAAAAGAAGATCCCACCTTGTCTAGCGTGTTTTGTTTTGTAGAAATTTGGAAAGTTTACTGACAAATTTGCTATTTCCATCAGGCCTGTGGTGACATTTTGTATCCGACGTACTTTACTCACAGAAAAAGGTGGAAACATGGTTAATCAGGTACTTCAATTATGTTGTGAATTAATTTAAATGGGTAAGTCAAGGCAATTTACATGCATAAGTAATCATGTTTTCAATAATATAATCAGGAATTATAAAGACGTATTAGGTTACGTCTGCATAAGTTAATATTTGATATCCAATTACATTTAGCAGCATGTTTGCCTCTAGGGGTTCTTTATTGGAATAACCCTCCACTCTGAATTTGGACTGTTTGTCATAGCTATTTTATTAGTTCACGTTTTCCTCTTTGGAGTAGTAGTAGTAGTAGTAGTAGTGGTGTGTGCGTGGGTGGGTGGTAGAGTTGTAATGGAGCATTTGATTTCCTGCTCACTTTGCCAGCAGCATACCACCCTGCATCCCACTGCTGGCTTGCCTCTGAAGCTAAGCACGGTTGGTCCTGGTTGGTCCCTGGATGGGAGACCAGATGCTGCTGGAACTGGTGTCAGAGGGCCAGTAGGAGGCACTCTTTCCTCTGGTCTAAAAAAAATATCCCAATGGCCCAGGGCAGTGATTGGGGACGTTGCCCTAGTTAGGGCACTACAGCCCTATGGGCCCTGGTCAAAAGTAGTGCACTATATAGGGAATAGGGTGCCATTTGGGACAAAGCCACAGACATTTTCCAATAGCGCTCTCATGGAGCTCATCTCTGTTCTCTTCTTAATTCCTCTCTTTGTTATCTTTGCACATTCTTAATATCACATCCAGCCTCTCTGTGTCTCTCTGTCTGAACACATTTTTTTTATATATTTTTATTTTACCCTTATTTTATCAGGTAAGTTGACTGAGAACACATCCTCATTTACAGCTTTTCTGCTTATATTGGATTGTATTAGAGGAACAATTTGTCTCGGGTAGCTCGCTGTGAGAGGGAAAGCATTAGCTCCGTTTACCAGCGTGAATGCGGTTTTCTAGTCATTACTCCAGAGGATTCTGAATAAGCTCTTTGTTTTGATTTAAAGATGGTAAATCACAGCTGATACATTTATAAAACACACAGAATCAAATATGACTTGTTAGTGTTACGTTATTATTATTATCCGTGTTTTAGTTAGTTATTCATCTTTGTTCTAGCAGCTCATTTATTTGTTGTCAATTATTGGCTCTCCTCGTCTCAGCTTTGGGTAATGAATACTGTCATAATGACTGGAATATTATGTATTCAGTGTTTGGTGATTAGATGTGCTTGTTTGGTTCCTTGTAGTGGGTGCACACATTAAAATACATTAATTAAGTTCAAGCTGCTTATAATGGATGACCCTTGACAGGACGGCTATAAAACTAATTACATACAGACACAGCTACCTTTTTACTTTGTTTATTTCCCCCTCTTCATTATCTCTGATAAGTGCAACCTCTTGTGAGAAATGACGTCCAGCTGCTTCTCTCCTCCATTTGTTGTCGCTTTTCCTCTCCTCTCTTTTTTCGTTCACCCTCCTCTCCTCCTCCGCCTCCTTTGTTGCCCACGCCAGCATCATAGCATCTGACGGAGGTTGAAGGAGAGGAAATCTGATAGCCTCCCTTTCTACTCTCTGCTACGTGAAAATGAAGCGACGTCAGGATGTCATGGCACGTCAGATTATGAATATGTACTGCAGTCTAAGACATGCAGCAGCAACAACCGATTCTCGCTAGCTTGAGTAAAGCATTGTGTTTTTGTCAGAATGTCTTTTTAGGTTACATACTAGCCTACTTTCTCACAACATTGTATTGTTTGAAGGTTACCTACCTTTTCAAAACATGGCAGCGTTTACATGCAGCCCAATTCAGATGTATTTATTTTTGCCCACTAATTGGTATGTTGACCAAATGTTTTAAGATGGTCATACAATGGATCTTTTAGCTATTTGATTTTGAATTTTAGGATCCCTGTAGGTATAAAAAAATATATAATTTTTTTGGGATAAAATACAGAATTTACTATTACTACTATTCATACATGGCAAAACAGACATTCAAAAATGTTATCATAAGGAATAAGGTTTTGAAGTGTCTGTCCTATATCTAGGAGATATATAAGTAGGCTCGGGAAATATTTGTGTTTTTTGGACACATATTTAACCCCTTTTTTATGTTGGCACAAAACTACCTCCATACTTCCATAAAAAACAATTAAACCTGCACCGGTTTAGCATCAGACGAGTCCTGTGACACTTGTGGGGGCCGTAGAGCAAAACGGAGAACACCCTCCTGTTCGTGAGAGTCTCATCCTTTCATATTAGTTTGTAGGCCACACCATTCGGACACTACAGATGAGACTGATTTTCAGGATGTCATGGTCTGACAAATACAGCTGTAACTCGGTCCACCTTCCACCGCAGATGCGGAAGCCCGACAAAGGTGGATGGGGTGTATTGAGACGCAGCCCGTGGGATTATTTTATTACCTTACTTAGATTGAAGCACAGGATTTAATCCCTTCTCACATTGTTGATTTGTTATAATATAGGTACTGTCTTTTTGAAGTTATGTCTTCTCACGCCATGTTGTTTTGTTTGAATGTGTCTGTTTCAGGTTACCTTCTGACGAGGCAGGAAGGACAAGCTGGCTCCCCAGAGAAGCCTCTGTCAGATCTGGGTCGCTTATCCTACCTGGCATATTGGAAAAGTGTCATGGTAGAGTACCTCTATAAGCAGCCAGATAAACACATCAGCGTTAAAGGAATAAGCAGGGCCACTGGGATGTGTCCGCATGATATCGCCGCTACTCTCCAGCATCTCTGCATGATTGACAGGCAGGACGGCAGGTCAGTCCTAACTCACACTCGTGCTGTGTGTGTGTGTGTGTGTGTGTGTGTGTGTGTGTGTGTGTGTGTGTGTGTGTGTGTGTGTGTGTGTGTGTGTGTGTGTGTGTGTGTGTGCACGCACCCTGTCTGACTCAGACTTATTCAGGCCGCTGGGTATTTTTAACAGAATATTGGCAGAAGTAAGTCAGGTTAAGGAAACAGACAGACAGAACAGCCTGCTGCTATTCCAGCCTGAGAATCCTCAGTTTCAGCTTTATTAACTTACATAACGCCATGGGTCATGTGGATTCACTCTACAACAGCTGGTCTTTTTCTTATTGGTTGACTGTAAAAGCACTTTGACAGTACTTACTGACAATTGCTAACTTAGAAAGGGCTTTAAAAAAACATTTGATTGTTTGGTTCATTGGTTTATGATTGGCTCTTTAGATTGTAGTGATCAGAATGGGTTGATTTTGATTGGTTTATGACTTCTCTCTAGGTTCATAGTGATCAGAATGGGTTGATTTGATTGGTTTATGATTTCTCTGTAGGTCCGTAGTGATCAGAATGGGTTGATTTGATTGGTTTATGATTTCTCTGTAGGTCCGTAGTGATCAGAATGGGTTGATTTGATTGGTTTATGATTTCTCTGTAGGTCCGTAGTGATCAGAATGGGTTAATTTGATTGGTTTATGATTTCTCTCTAGGTTCTTCGTGATCAGAAGATATCGATTGATGTTCAGTTTTATTAACTACAAGCCATGTTTCATGTCACATACATGAATATGTTGAAAGCTGGTGCTTTTTGTCATAACTTTTGATTGCTCCTCTCTAGGTTTGTGGTAATCAGAATAGATTGATTGATCTTATTGGTTATTGATCTCTAGGTTTGATTGATCTTATTGGTTATTGATCTATAGTTTTGTAGTGATCAGAATAGATTGATTGATCTCATTGATGATGTCTCAAGGTTTGATTGACTGATTTTATGTTGTTTCTGATTGCTCTTCTTTAGGTTTGTGGTGATCCGAAAAGAGTGGTTGATCCAGAGGCACATGGAGAAGCTGCGAGCCAGCCCCAGGCTGAACCAGGTGGACCCTGACGTGCTGCACTGGACCCCCAGCCCCAGGCTGAACCAGGTGGACCCTGACGTGCTGCACTGGACCCCCAGCCCCAGGCTGAACCAGGTGGACCCTGATGCACTTCACTGGACCCCCGCAGTGGCCCTCAACTCTGTCCTGTCTGAGAAAGAGAGAGAGGTCGAGATGGATGTAAGTCTTGTGCACGGAGACACACACACAGTGTTCTTCAACTCTGGTCCTGAAGAGCTAACGGCTGTGCAGGTTTTTGTTCCAGCCCATCACTAAACTCAAATAATCAACTAATCATGGTGTTCAGTCTGGAGTCTAGACCATGATTAAGTTAATCATGGTGTTCAGTCTGGAGTCTAGACCATGATTAAGTTAATCATGGTGTTCAGTCTGGAGTCTAGACTATGATTAGGTTAATCAGGTGTATTTGTGCTGGGCTGGCGCAAAAGCCTACACACTCGGTACATTAGCTCTCCAGGACCCTTACTTTAGTTGGAGCACCCTACGTTAGTACTAAAGACTTGTACATCAGCTAACACGATGCGTGATCATTCATCATCCCACAGTCTGTTAAAGGTATTGTTTGATTCTGTTTGAGTTCAAACCAAGGCCGTTAATGGGCTTAACATGTTCACTGTCACTAGGTATTTAATGTGGTGCTAAATTGCCCCAAATCAGTTCACTACATCATTACATAATGAATAGTGCTAAATATTCCATGAAATGCAATCTCATGGAATTGCTTAACAGCGAATGCTTCCTCTGCTCTGACACTCACACACACACATTATCATGAGAACCTGTGGTGATGCATTTGTCAAGATGTTAATTCAAATCGTGAGTGTGTACGCAGATCTGTTTATTTCCCCATTAGCCTTCTCATTGTGATGTTGAGCTAGCTGCCTGTGTGTTTCCCAGAGACGACAAGAATGTCTGTCTCTCTGTGTGTTAATTTCAGGCTGAGCAACTGATGTGTGTCTCTGTGTTAATTCCAGGCTGAGCGACTGATGTGTCTTTCTGTGTGTTAATTCCAGGCTGAGTGACTGATGTGTCTCTCTGTCTGTTAATTCCAGGCTGAGCGACTGACGTGCCTCTGTGTGTTAATTTCAGGCTGAGCGACTGATGTGTCTGTCTGTGTGTGTTAATTTCAGGCTGAGCGACTGATGTGCCTCTCAGTGTGTTAATTTCAGGCTGAGCGACTGATGTGTGTGTTAATTCCAGGCTGAGCGACTGATGTGCCTCTCAGTGTGTTAATTCCAGGCTGAGCGACTGATGTGCCTCTCAGTTGGCTGTTTCATTTCAGGCTGAAGCGACTGATTGTCTGTGTGTGTTAATTCAGTGCTGATCGACTGATGTGCCTCTCAGTGTGTTAATTTCAGGCTGAGCGACTGATGTGTCTGTCTGGTTTGTGTTAATTCCAAGATGAGCGACTGATGTGCCTCTGTGTGTTTAATTTCAGGCTGAGCGACTGATGTGTATGTCTGTGTGTTTAATTCATGCTGAGCGACTGATGTGTATGTCCGTGTGTGTTAATTTCAGGCGAGCGACTGATGTGCCTCTCAGTGTGTTTAATTTCAGGCTGAGCGACTGATGTGCCTCTCAGTGTGTTAATTTCGGCTAAGCGACTGATGTGCCTCTCAGTGTGTTAATTTCAGGCTGAGCGACTGATGTGTCTGTCTGTTGTGTGTTAATTCCAGGCTGAGCGACTGATGTGCCTCTCAGTGTGTTAATTTCAGGCTGAGCGACTGATGTCTGTCTGTGTGTGTTTAATTCCAGGCTGAGCGACTGATGTGCCTCTCAGTGTGTTAATTTCAGGCTGAGCGACTGATGTCTGTCTGTGTGTGTTAATTCCAGGCTGAGCGACTGATGTGCCTCTGTGTGTTAATTTCAGGCTGAGCGACTGATGTGCCTCTCAGTGTGTTAATTTCAGGCTGAGCGACTGATGTGTCTGTCTGTGTGTGTTAATTCCAGGCTGAGCGACTGATGTGGCCTCTCAGTGTGTTAATTTCAGGCTGAGCGACTGATGTCTGTCTGTGTATGTTAATTCCAGGCTGAGCGACTGATGTGCCTCTGTGTGTTAATTTCAGGCTGAGCGACTGATGTGCCTCTCAGTGTGTTAATTTCAGGCTGAGCGACTGATGTGTCTGTCTGTGTGTGTTAATTCCAGGCTGAGCGACTGATGTGCCTCTCAGTGTGTTAATTTCAGGCTGAGCGACTGATGTCTGTCTGTGTGTGTTAATTCCTGGCTGAGCGACTGATGTGCCTCTGTGTGTTAATTTCAGGCTGAGCGACTGATGTGTATGTCTGTGTGTTAATTTCAGGCTGAGCGACTGATGTGCCTCTCAGTGTGTTAATTCCAGGCTGAGCGACTGATGTGCCTCTCATTGTGTTAATTTCAGGCTGAGCGACTGATGTGTCTGTCTGTGTGTGTGTTAATTCTAGGCTGAGCGACTGATGTGCCTCTCAGTGTGTTAATTTCAGGCTGAGCGACTGATGTGTCTGTCTGTGTGTGTTAATTCCAGGCTGAGCGACTGATGTGCCTCTCAGTGTGTTCATTTCAGGCTGAGCGACTGATGTGTCTGTGTGTGTTAATTTCAGGCTGAGCGACTGATGTGCCTCTCAGTGTGTTAATTTCAGGCTGAGCGACTGATGTGTCTGTCTGTGTGTGTTAATTCCAAGCTGAGCGACTGATGTGCCTCTGTGTGTTAATTTCAGGCTGAGCGACTGATGTGTATGTCTGTGTGTTAATTTCAGGCTGAGCGACTGATGTGTATGTCCGTGTGTGTTAATTTCAGGCTGAGCGACTGATGTGCCTCTCAGTGTGTTAATTTCAGGCTGAGCGACTGATGTGCCTCTCAGTGTGTTAATTTCAGGCTAAGCGACTGATGTGCCTCTCAGTGTGTTAATTTCAGGCTGAGTGACTGATGTGCCTCTCAGTGTGTTAATTCCAGGCTGAGCGACTGATGTGCCTCTCATTGTGTTAATTTCAGGCTGAGCGACTGATGTGTCTGTCTGTGTGTGTTAATTCCAGGCTGAGCGACTGATGTGTCTGTCTGTGTGTGTTAATTCCAGGCTGAGCGACTGATGTGTCTGTCTGTGTGTGTTAATTCCAGGCTGAGTGACTGATGTGCCTCTGTGTGTTAATTTCAGGCTGAGCGACTGATGTGTCTGTCTGTGTGTGTTAATTTCAGGCTGAGCGACTGATGTGTCTGTCTGTGTGTGTTAATTCCAGGCTGAGCGACTGATGTGTCTGTCTGTGTGTGTTAATTCCAGGCTGAGTGACTGATGTGCCTCTGTGTGTTAATTTCAGGCTGAGCGACTGATGTGTATGTCTGTGTGTGTTAATTTCAGGCTGAGCGACTGATGTGCCTCTCAATGTGTTAATTTCAGGCTGAGCGACTGATTTGCCTCTGTGTGTTCATTTCAGGCTGAGCGACTGATGTGCCTCTCATTGTGTTAATTCCAGGCTGAGCGACTGATGTGTCTGTCTGTGTGTGTTAATTCCAGGCTGAGCGACTGATGTGTCTGTCTGTGTGTGTTAATTCCAGGCTGAGTGACTGATGTGCCTCTGTGTGTTAATTTCAGGCTGAGCGACTGATGTTTGTGTTAATTCCAGGCTGAGCGACTGATGTGCCTCTCAGTGTGTTAATTTCAGGCTGAGCGACTGATGGGCCTCTGTGTGTTAATTCCAGTTCGAGCGACTGATGTGCCTCTCAATGTGTTAATTCCAGGCTGAGCGACTGATATGCCTCTGTGTGTAAATTTAAGGCTGAGCGACTGATGTGTCTGTGTGAGTTAATTCCAGGCTGAGCGACTGATGTGCCTCTCAGTGTGTTAATTTCAGGCTGAGCGACTGATGTGTCTGTCTGTGTGTGATAATTCCAGGCTGAGCGACTGATGTGCCTCACAGTGTGTTAATTCCAGGCTGAGCGACTGATGTGCCTCTTTGTGTAAATTTCAGGCTGAGCGACTGATGTGTCTGTGTGAGTTAATTTCAGGCTGAGCGACTGATGTGCCTCTCAGCGTGTTAATTTCAGGCTGAGCGACTGATGTGTCTGTCAGTTTGTTAATTTCAGGCTGAGCGACTGAT